AAAACTATTGCTATTTAAGTTTATAAAACACATACATAATTTTAGATGACAGGGTAAGTAAATTTTTATGAGGGGAGAAGCGAAATTTTTTGAAGTGAGGGAAGCAATTGAAATTTTTTAAAAAAAGCAATTAAAATTATTTAGGATAATTTTAAGTAATTTCTCCTCAAGTTAATCAGGGCAATTGCTCTCTCTATCGTAAATGTTGGTGTGTGTGTGTCTCTCTTTAAAGAGAGATCATATTTCAATAAATAATTATTTATTAATTAATAAATATTTATTTGTATTTAATAAAAAAACATTCGTTGATTAACAAGTTTTTTTTAAAAAAAATGAGGTTATTATGTCTTTTTTTATATTAAATTATTTTTAAATCAATTCCTGACCCTACAATAATGTATCAGAATCTTTTAATTTTTATTTGATATTAAACTATCACAACAGTTTTTGAATGATATTTTCATGTAACCTTTGAGCACAAGTGCACAAGCAGGATTCCGAATTCCACTGAGAAGAATCAACACAATGGAGAAATAATAAATCGATTTAGATAAATTCAACGTCTGGTCACTCAACAAGGCCAGTTGAATAATATGCAAATCAATTCAGTATCTCTTCGCTTAACCAAGAGACAAAAACGTTTGAGTGTTTTGGATAATATTTTAAATGATTAATAACAATTCTATTTTATTTATTTTGTTTGCAATCTTACCAAAATAAATTAATTAAAAAAAAGGCTATTCTAAACCTATGCAATCAACATCATTCGGCCATGAGCCGAAACAGACATGGAATTTAAGAATATATGTTTCACTGGTCTCCAGTCGTTTGTGATCTCAACAGGGGAAAAAAGTCTATACGAAATCCCTACAAAAAAAAAAAAATAATAAGTCTATACGAAATTATCATAATCGTTGGGATTGTAACATAAAATTATTCAAGAGTACCAAGAATATTATTTTTTGGCAATAACATAGAATAAAATCTTAATACTTATATCTTAAGACGATTCCTATTGTTTTATTTAGAAAAGTGAAATGCGAAAAAATTGATGAGGTTATACTTTTAAATAATTTTCTAAAATTAATAAAGATAATATTATGAAAATTTGTAACATTTTCTAACAGATGACTCGACAAAACAAAAGCTCAAGGAAAAAAAATCATATTTTAGAATAGGCAAGTCCGAAAAAGGACAGAAATAATTGAATAAACAAAAAATTATGGTTCAAATTAGAATATTTGAAAAATAATTTTTTAATCCTTATTTGAATGCTATAACCACATGGTTAATATAGCAAATTTTCAAAAATTGTGACATAGAGCACTCTACAATGTGTGTTATGGGTTATGCGTCTGAAATTTACTTTTTTAAAATCAATTATCATTTTTTGCAAAATTTTAAATATCAATTTTATAATTTTAAGAGAATTGGTTGTAAAGCTGGAAATTCTGATGGATCCAGATTAGATAAAATTTATAAAAAGATCTATGTAACCAAACATTGTCGAAACATTGTTGGACTTCAGGCTGCCGAACTGCCGAATTGTTCATTTTCATTTTTAAAATAAAATTTCATTTTCATTTTAAATTTAATTATTTTTATTATCATAAAAAATATAATATATGCTTTTTTAAAATGCTTAAAAAAGTAAAAGACTTTTGGATCTTAATTTTTAAAAATCAAAATTAAAATATATTTTAAACATTATTTTAAGTTGCTTAATAAATTTGAAATAATAAAAATATAATCATATTAATTATTTTTAATTTTTTAAGAAACTATATATAATGATATACTCAAATATATTGTTGAAACTAAAACTTATATTTAACAGATTTTATATTTTTTTAAAAAAGTTAAAATTTTAGTTTGTATTTGGACCTATTAGGGCCGGTCTAAATTTGCCAATCATTAAAAATATATTACTTCCTTTATTTTAAATTATAAAAAATTTTTAGAGAAAATTTTACACATTAATAAACTTCATTAAATGTACTTAATAACTGTATTTTTTTAAAATATAAATATAAATTTTAAAAAATACTCATTATTTAATATATTAAAAAATGAATGAAAATTAATTATAAAGAGGGCAAGTTTAATATTAAAACCGATGCATTTAATAAAATTTTAATTTATTTAAAGTATTTTATATTTTGGGATGAATTTTTTTTTAAATGTCTTATAATTTAAAATGAAGGGAGTATTTTATTAGGCTTGATTGTAAATCTTTTCAAATTTATTTATTTTGGTTTATTATGCGTGGCCTAACATACCGAATTTGATTGGTTCAAAAATTTTGGGAAGCTTCGTTCAAATATATTGCATTAACTCATTTGTTTGGTTCGTGGGTGCCTGGGTGGTGTCTTATGTTTTTTGCCTGTTTACTTCTATCTTTTGTACTTGCTTTACGTGCTCAAATAAAGTTGTTTGGCTCCCCCAGATCCGAACTTAAAAATTGATATTAATTTTTTTAAAAAAAATCAATGGTGCTAACATTTAAGTATTTTTAAATAGATTTATGATCCATTTTTGCATAAAAATGCTATCAGCTTTTCAAAAAATTGTTTTTGAAGTTATCTAAAATTATAATGTCTTAAAATTAATTCTTTATTAAATGCTATCAGCTTTTCAAAAAATTGTTTTTGAAGTGATTAATCAGATTTTGGGCTTACTTGTTTAAGCTTATTTAATTAAAAATCACTTATATTTTTTACAATTCATTTTTGTGAAATTTTATTATATTTTTTTAAATTTTAAAAATGATTAGAATCTAAAAAAATATATTTCTAATTATTTTAATAAGTCACTTTATTATAGAAATATCCCAGCCAATTTCATCAAAAGAAATATGTATTTCATAAAAAAAATCCCAGTCTTCATACATGTAACAATTTAATTTACAGAAATCTACTCTTTGCACTCAGTCCCTGAGGAGAGATAATTTCTATTATTGGTAGAGCCTACTCTTTATATTATAAAAAAAGAAATAATCATATATAGTAGATGAGAAAAAATGTGATAAAAATATATAGATATAAGAAAATATGATAAAATTTTAAAATAACTCAATAATTTATTTTTTATAAATAGAGATTCATGAAAATATCTAAAAATAACTAAATAATTATCATTTTTTATTTTTATAACTAAACATAGAATAATATATATTATAAAATCTATGAATTATATGAAGAGCACTTATTTTTTATTTTTAAACAAACGGATGCTTTAATTTGTACAAACTTACTCAATTGAATCCTATGTTTTAAAAAAAGAAAAAAAAAAGGAAAAGAATATTGAAATCCTATTTAAATTAGAGTTACTTTACTTTGAGCTTTGAGCATCTTATACGAATAAATAAGATATTTTTATAAATTATTTCTTAGAATAGAGCAGAAATCTTCTTTTATCAGTAATTCATTAACTCTGTCATTTTTTTTGTTGACATATGATGTTCTTTGATATTAACTTGTCTCTGAACTTTTTTTTTTTTAAGTGTTAAACACCTTAAAGTTTTGTTAAAACAAAATTTAATAGATATTGTTAAAATATTTAATATTTATTAAGAAGATAACCTTTTAAGAAAATTAATATTAATTAAGTTACTTAAATTTTTTAAGCCATTCTCTATAATTTTTTTGATTAACTAACGGTCAAATTAATATATATTTAGAATTGAAATATCACTTATTATTATTTAATATTTTCATATAATGCAATATATTTTTCATTTTAAAACTAAAAAAATTAGTTACAAATTCAATAAGATAATACTCTTTTTATCCATTTATTTGTTAATATAAAGTTACAAAATATCAAAATATTAAATTTGGATGGTGTGATATTTTGAAAGAAGATTATTAGTTAATCAAAAAATTATAAAGAATGACATAAAATATTTAAAGGACTTAATCATTTTTTATAAGGTCTTTTTTATAATTTATTTAAAAAATATTATTTTCATTGTCATTAGGGTTAAAGTACTTTTTTTTAAATTTTTTTAAGAAGTATTGAGTATCTTATATTAATAAGTGAATTTTTTATTAAATTATTTTTAGAGGAGAAAAAAGCTCCTTTGCCATGGATCACTAACTAATGAGCAGAGATTTTTACTCAATAATAAAATGATCTATGAAAAAAATATTTTATTTATTAATACATGATACCTAATTTTTTCAAAAAAAAAATATACGAGGTAAAGATACTTTAGCCCTTTTATGCCTTATTATGCCGGCAGGATTGCCAGTGCATTTTTTGTTTGCCGGCACCCGGCGGACATGACCGCGGGTTCGCAAACCCAGCACTTTTGAGTTTTGACGTCATGTTGTCAGCTGAGAGAGTGACGTGGCAATACTTATATAATATTTTTATTTAATATATTAATTTAAAATTGAATTGATAAATAAAATCTTTAAAAACACCATGTTTTGTTTAGATATATATATATATATATATCTCTCTCTCTCTCTCTATATATATCTATATATGAACTTGGGCCAAATCCTTTATATTTATGAATTTTAATTTTATTGGAATTCAAATTTTATATTAAATAATATTTGAATTAGTAGATTTAGATTTAAAATCTTAAATTTTAAATTCATATATATATAATTATTTATAAATAATTTAAATAATAAAGATAAATTACTACTATAGATAGTATTTCAAGGACACACATGAATATTTGAAATAATAAAAATTTAAAAAATATTTTAAATTACAATAAAATTAAGATAAAATTTATATTTGAATTTAGATAAAATATAAATTTAAATTCATATGTATTTAAATATAATATTTAAAATTTTTTTAGAATTTTATTATTTCAGATTTCTATAAAATAATACCTAACAGTATTAACTTTTAACTTTTATTATTTAAACTATGTAAATAAAATTTTTTTAAATAAATTGAGATTTCAAATCCAACCCTATCAATCAAGTAATGTGTAAGGATATTGTCATCCTTCTATGCAACTGGCTGTATTTTGCTTCCCAGTTGCCACGGAAATCATTCCTCTTTACGCTTCTCTTCTTAAAGACTCTCTTCCCTTCTTCCATTCCCACAGCCCACTCAGCTCAATTCACTTCTCTCTCCTTCGTCTCCAATTCTCTGATCTTTCTTTCTCTCAATCCTCTCAATCACTATTCCTTCGCCGAATTCTTCTTTCAATTCAATTCTATTTTCTCTGTTTTTGACTTCTCTTCATGGATAATTGTCTCCGCCACCTCCCCAACTTCACCCTTCCCTCTTCTTCCTCTTCTTCTTCGTTGCTCTCTTCTCCTAAACCCCAATTGGCATGTAATTTCCCTCGCAAGCCCGTGGATTCTCCTCCATTCAGGTCCTTGTGTGGTGTTTTTGACCGCTTAAGCAGCCGCGGACCGATGAAGGTTGTAGCGAGTGCCGGTGCGAGTCCATGCGAGTTCAGCACCTTGAACTCGAACTCGCCCCTTCAGCTCAAAACGCCGGTGGGTAAGTTTCTCACCAGCATCTTGCAGAACCATCGTTCGTTGTTTCACCTCTCCGTCAATGAAGAACTGAGGATTTTGTCTGATGATCGAGAGGCTGCAGTTGCTCGCATGGCACTTAGTGCGGGTTCTGATGAGGAAGTTCTTCACAGGTTAGCGATTTTATTCAAATCCTCCTCACACACACACACACACACACACACACACAAAAGAGTCTGCTATTCCACGCTTTTAGTCAACTGATTACAAAATTTTGCATCCGCCTTCATGCGCAATGTGCTCAATTGTGAGTTGTGAAGGGATAACTCTGCGACTGACAGTGGCTCTGCTCACCATTGAGAGACATGCTTATAAATATTATGTGGTTTACTGAACCGCTCATGGTTTTCGTGGCTTATGAATATGGTGGAAAGTACGATAATTTTTCTGTCAAGTTGACGGTATAACTATGGCTAGTAAGAAGACTGATATCAATAACACGTTTGTCCCTCCGTCCTTCCTTGAATAAAATACACTTATTGCAGTGAAAGTTTTCATTCTATTGATGATAGGCTTTTCCGTGATCAGACAACTTTCATATTGGTAATTTAGAAAGCCAGTTACAATTGAATCATTTTATCTGTTGTTTATTCTTAGTTTGTTGATAATTTCCAATAACCAATATGAGCTTGTTCTTGAGCAGTTTTGTATGCCTAAAGACTCAGATGAGCTGTGCCCATAACTTTGCTCTTAACATTATTTGCAGGAATAGATCTGATCAAAATTCGGGTAGTGGTAAATTTATGTCATTGCATGTATTTGGGTGTAGAGTGTTATAATTTAAGTATTAGATAAATAGATAGCATTTTGAATTTTTTGTTGTGGTTGGTAAGCTCTCAGAATATAGAAACCCTGTGAAGGACTATTTCTTCAATGATTTTTTGTTCTTGGATGGAACAGTTGGTACATCTGAAATAGTCAGGGTCCCTATATTGCCGAAGATTGGCTACAAACCATTTTGTTTGGAGTGAGATATGAGCTTTTCCCTCTTTTTTATATTTTCATGTATATATATATAACACTGGCAACTTGATTAATGAAAGTTAATTAGGCCAAAACTTCGAACTTGTGGAATCAGCATCCATTTAAAAAAAAAAAAAAAACTAATTGGACTTCCTCTGTTCTTGAATGAATTTTTTTGGGAGAATTTAATGTTATATATAGTTTAAAATAGGTGATTTTGAGTAATGGCAGTCATTTAGTGCCTTTCCTTATCTTTATCTGCAAAGAATAAAGTAACTTACAGAAATGATAGCTTGAGAATCAATAGTAAATTATTAATTTAATTTATAAAAGTTGCAAGAAGCCATGCCATTTAAAAGTCATGAACAATGAAACTTACCTCAAACTCTATTTTCCTTGTCTAAGATTTAAGCTTTAGCCTAAATTATTTCTTGTCAATCAGGTTGATTAGTGTTCACATTATCTATTGACTTGTGGATCTTGAGTAGTCTTTCAAGATGATTGCATGATACTCTTTACTTGGCATTAAAGTCATAGACTCGAACAAGTTAAACAGCATAGTAACCAACTTCTTTGGTCCCTGATGGTTGTATATACTCTTTACTATATTATTGGAATGGCAATTGATCTGAAGTTTTACTTGATGCCAGGAGGATTGCAGAAGTAAAAGAGAATCAGTGTCGAACTATTTTACTAGATATCATGTATTTGCTGATCTTCTACAAGTTTTCTGAGATCAGGGTCCCTTTGGTTCCCAAGCTGTCCAGATGCATTTATAATGGTAGGTTAGAGATATTGCCTTCAAAGGACTGGCAACTAGACTCCATTCACAGTTTGGGAGCTTTGGATTTATTAAAGGAACATGTAACCACTGTAACGGGCTTGAAAGCAAACTGCAGCGTGAGAGATATTTGGGCAACAACTAAGATTAGACATTTCAAGCTTGCCCAAATTTATGTTGCCTCAATATTATATGGTTACTTTCTGAAGTCAGTTGCATTGAGGTACCACCTGGATCGAAGTTTATCTTTGGGTCATGATGATCTTTGTTTCAGTGGAAGGACTGGCCCATCGTTTCATGATACGTCTCCATCTCATTATAGATACAGCGATATCATCTTTGGCCGTAGGAATAACCTGCCGTCTGTTGGTCAAGGGCTTACCAGGAAGGAAGAGAAAATTGAAGATTTGAAGGATTATCTAACAGGATTTCACCCTGAGTCACTGCAGAGATGTGCTAAACTGAGATCTGAGGAGGCTCTGAAATTGATACATCGTTATAGTTTCGCTCTTTTCGGAAATGAGAAATGCGAGTTGGTTGAGAATGATGATGTCATTGTAACTTCATTTTCTAGCTTGAGGAGGTTAGTCATGGAAGCTGCTGCTTTTGGATCGTTCCTTTGGGAGGTAGAAGATTACGTCGATAATGTATATAAGCTTAGAGATGTATAAATAGTGTACAGGCACATATGGCTAAATAAAATCACTTGGTTGATGGAGGAATGCTCTTTTGTATATTCAGTGAGTTACCATTTTCAGCTTGAGTGGCTTGACAATTAACATCTTCCTTTCCTTGTATAGTTTTGACAAGGGGTGTTTCTGGAAGTTAATTATCAGAGTTGACTTGAAATCTATCTTTGAATATTATTCAGCTTTTCATCTGATGGTTATGATATGTTTACAAAGTAACTTGGTTTCTTTTTGAGTTATGCACTTTTTGAATTGAAATATATGAGGAATAAAAGAATGCGTATGAATCCCCCCCCCCTCAACCTTTTCATTCATGTTGTCATTATTTTTCATCTCTTGTACTTTGGAAGTATTTTACATTTTCCTGTCTTTTGTTAACTTGGTGCTGCCACTTTGAAGATGGAGAGTCAAATTGGTGAGAGTCCTAACTGTGTATCTGGTGCTGCCACTTTGAAGATGGAGTCAAATTAGTGACAGTCCTAACTGTGTCTCTCCAGGAGCCCGATTGCTCTTTAAAAGAAATTGATTGAAAAAATAAAGATAAAAGTAAAATGATCAAGATGTGGAGAAAAAATAAGTCAATCATTTTCACAACAAAAAATAGTAATTTAGTTCATAAAGTTAATAATCATGATTTTTGAAGTTTACGGAGGGTGTGGTAATTATGACATTTGTGGTATGTGATATTAAATTTTGTCATGCTTATTATGAAGATAGAGAGTAATTTAGTTTATTTTTATTTTCATTTTTTTTAACCCATACAATTTCCATCTTTTCCTGCAACAAAAGGGCTCCCAAGTCTTTTTGGAAAGTTGGTAAGGTTGTATTTTATGAGAGAATAGTAATAAAGGGTTAATGATGAAGGGTGTATCTATTTATTTATTTTAAAATAGCGAGAACAACTAGTTTCATAGAGTTTCATCTACGTATAATTTTGGAGATCTAAGTCTTGCTGACAAATGTGCTGTTATGCTGTCAAGAGTGCTGTTCTTGGATATAAATTTGCTGGGTGTCAAATTTTAAATATTCTAGAATCATTTGACATCCTTGAATCTTACAAATAAATGTTGTTGTTGATGAAATCTCATGACGCTAAAAAATTGAGCTCTTGAGTCTTAACAGAGATATGGAGTTCACAATTTATATCAGTGTAGCATATAAAGTTGATGTCTTATTTTGAAAAAACTTGGAGAGCTATTTCTAATTGAACTTAATAAACTTCAAATATAATCTAACAATTTCGATCGCGCATGTATACGCATGCGTGTATGAATAACAATTTTGATAATATTCTAGAAAGCAGATACTTTTTTAATAAAAATAAGGATAAAGGTGTAATTTTAACTCTCAATTATTTTTTCAAGAGCACTGAGTAGCTTATAAAAAAAGATGATGCAAAATAAATTCTCAACTTTAAAGAACGAATCATTTAGCAGCCTTCATTAATTTTTATTTAACAGATGTTAACAACTCATGCAGCTTACAAATTTTGACTAAAATGACATGTAGCACTCCACTTCAACAGATAAAAATGATAATAAAGTCATGAATTATTTTTTGAAAAGCATTTGGTAATCTCTACTATAAAAAACAGAACATCCAATACTTTTTCATCAATTTTGACCAAACATTGTTTGTTTTCAGACTTATAAGACCCATAACATGTTAATCTTTTTAATTTTCTTGCCTTCATTTTCAATCTTAGCTCAAGAAGAAAAAGTTTAAAAAATTCTCAATCATTTCATTTTCTATAAAAATCATTCATGGCTAAATTGACATGTTGAGACTCTTTGAGTTTTTAATATCTTCAGATAAAAACTCTTTAAATCTCTTCTTCTCTTGTTGAGATTGATGCAATGTGGATGCTATAAATTTAAAAATAAATGATGTATGGTCAAAGTTGATAGGAAGGTTTTGGATGGTCTTTTTTTTTTTTATAATTGATTATTTTCTTTACACCACCTAATAGTAAAAGTTACCCAATGCTTTTCAAAAAATAATTTGTGATTAAATTTGTACCTTTTCTTATGCTGAAGTGGAGTATCACATGTCATTTTCAGTTAAATTTTGTGAATCCCGCCTAGCATCCATTGAGTGAAATTAACGGTGGGTGCTAGATATTTCTTTTTTGAAAGTTGAGAATTTATTTTATATCACCTCATAGTATAAACTACCCAATGATTCTAGAAAAATAATTGGTGACCAAATTTATACCTTTATCCTGAAAATAATTGTTCCTCCTCACTTCTTCAGCTCTTTGTTTCACTCTCAATTCAATAATGGATTATCCAGTTAAATTTAGATGGCTCATGTTAATTAAAATATTAAAATACTCTTTCCGTTTTAAATTATAAAACACTTTTAAATCAAATTTCATATATCAATAAAACTCATTAAATGCACTTTACAATCTTATTTTTTAAAATAAAAATATAAACTTTTAAAAATATCCTTTATTTAATACTCCAATGATGAAAGAATATTGAAGAGAGAGAATATATGAGAAGGGTAATATTGAAAAAATATCATTAATGAAATCTTATTTTTATTAAAATGTCTTATATTTTGAGATGCTGAATCTTTTTTAAAAGTGTCTTATAATTTGAAACATGAGTGAGTATAATAATAAATATGGATGTGATCTATATAATTTTTTTTCTTTTTTTTCATATATACTTCGCAACCCTATCTCGATGAACTGGTCAAAAAAATATTTTCTTTTAAGAAAGCCTTTGGTTTTCTAAATCTGCCCTACCAAAACGGTTTCAGAGTTGGTTTAAAACTATTTTTCATCAAGTTTAGAAAACTTTTTTCAACACTATAACTGGCGGACCTTTATTTTATCTCCTTTTATTGGATTTTGTTCTAAATTTTAGAAAATCTTTCCAAATATAATGTGCCCCCTCCCAATAAATGATTTTAGGATCTCTACATCCAATAAGACAAAATAAAATTATACATAGCGTGTTTTAATTGAATTTTTTTCCAAGAATTTGGCAACTAAGTCGACAGAGCGGGTATTATATATAATTTTTTAATAATTTAAAAAAATTTATGGCATGATTATTTCTTTTGTCCTGGTCACAGAACTCAAAATGAAAATTCGTAATTTTTGTCAGTGCATAATATCCAGCCAAGTCGTTACAATCCAGGGAAGTTGATCAAATGATCGAAACCTGCCTTAGTTAATATTATGATTATTGGAAATAAAGTCCAATTTCCAAAATGGATTTATTTTGTCTGTTTCAATTTTGATATATTCTTTGAATATGAACAAATGCTACAACTTCTTATGTTATCTTATCTCATAATATAAATTCAAAATTTTGAAAAAGACTTTATAAAACATTGACATATTGCTATAACTATATAATGCCTCCCCACAATTGGTATACATTCTCTTCCTTGATGCCAAACTCATTGATGGAGCTATTTGATATTTTTCTAAAAAAAATCTAATTAGACCAATAGATGTTGGGTTTAATAAAAATGATTAATTTCTCATAACATGATAAATTAAAATTTAAATTTTTGATAAAAAAAATGTTCATATTTATTATTCAATTGTATCTCAAATATGATTCACTCCAATAGAAAAACACGTGTGAGCAATTTATATTTTTAAAAAGAAAAGTCAGTTAAAATCTTAATTTTTTTAAATAATTCACATCTTTTCAATTGTATCTCTAATAGAAATAAATATAAAATTTGATTTATTTAAAGTATGCCCATTAATTACTTGAGTGGAGTATAATAAAGTAAATGTATAATTAAAAAAATGCATAACATCTATCTAATATTTTATATTATAGATCAAGTAAAGTTTTTTAAAAATGTTCTATATTGTAATCTGAAAGAAATAATTAAGTGATTTACATATAATATGAAATTAGATAAATTATTTATTTGCAAAAAATGTGGACCGAGTGTCCTAAAATGTCTCCATTCAATGAGTCACAAGTTAAATACGATGCCCATTCCTTTGCATTACATGACAAATTAAATGAGGAAATAACGAAGATTGATGTCTAAAAAAGAAGATTGATGTCTTATATTTATTATTAAAATAATTTTTTAACTAGCTTATACATTTAACCTATGTTATATAGATACTGATATATGTATCGAATATTGATACATATCCGATATATCAATACTTTAATTTTTAAAAATATAAAATATGGTACATTTTTTATATGTGTATATATTTTTATAAAAGAATATTAAAAATATAATTTTAATTTAGAAAATATTTAAATTAGCATGCATATATGATCCTTTCTAATAACATCACATAAAATATAATCATTAATTATATTTTTATTTTATCTATACCTAATTATTTACCACGTAATCCTTTTTGACTTTCATAAGATTACATTTTCACATTTTTATAATAAAAAAATGTATTATTTATTCTTTTATTACATTCAAAACTTTTTTTTAAGAAAAATTTAATATTTGACTTTAATTTAGAGGTAAAGAGAAAAAGAATAAATTAAAATAAAGTTAAAATAAAATTTTTTCTGAATATTAAAAATTTTAATTAAAATTTAAGATTATAGTTTATGATTAATCATACTAAAAAAATTAATTTTTCATAAAACTAAAAATCAAATAATACTGTATGAAAGCATGAGAAGCCATCGCCTGGGCAAATTACATTGAAGGAAAGACGCGAATAGCAATTGCTACTGCTCGGACATTTCCTTGCTCTTTTCAATTCTTTGCCACCCATGCTCCCCTTTTTAATTTAAAGGAAAAAATCACGGCCAATTCTCTCTCAAAAAAATTAATTATAAATAAAGATAAATATGAAATGAATTATTGTAAAAATGGTAACATGATTTATTTTTTTTATTTTAACATAAAAAGACAAAATTGCCCCACAATTTTTTTTTTAAAAAAATTTTCAACCACTGACCGCTGGTAGTCGGACCACATTGCTTGACCAGCCATCTAAGCTTTAGCAGTGATAACTAGACCACCACTAAAGCTCATCAGACCAACGAGAGGGGCTAATTATTTTTTTACAGTGGTCAAGGTAAAGTTTGAACTCACATCCTCTTGGCCACTAAAAGAATTGTTAACCACTAAGCTAACAAATCCTTTCAAGTATATAATAAAAAGTTTGTGTGTGTGTGTGTGTCTGTGTCTGTGTGTGTGTTTAACTTCGTTTTTCACTTTCCAT